GGGCAGATGGGTTCGTTTGGTACCAACTCGCTCCCAAACTATCCAATACCGAATACGCTTTCGTCGACCAATCAACAAGCGCCGGTCCAATCCAACCAGCAACCTCTCCAGGCAGCCAGCCATTATATACCGCAACTTTGAAGAGAAAGTGTGTGCTATCATGAAGGAATTACGGGGTTGTCCATGTAGCCAGTCAGAACATGAATCAGCAAATACCATCATCCACGCAGTGCGTCTACGAAGTACTTGTAACACCTAGACAAGAAACATCCAGTATATTCGATACACCAGACCGGAGAAGTTGAGTAGATTCATGACTATAGTTGCATGGTCATACTATTCCGTCTTCCCGAACCCGAAGATCGTACTTGTACACATCTCCATTAGGACCCACCATGTCAACGGCCATTCGCCGGAGATTATGGTGGCTTTCGACCGAAATATGCCTTACCGCGAATGATAGGTTTCGCATTTCCCAATTTACTGAAGCCGTAGGAGTGCCTGCCATTATCCGAAATTGCAGGACGCTAGCCCGACTGTAGGCTGAAAATGAAAGTCCCACTCGTCCACGACAAACTCGTCTATGGTACTTCTTTTTGACTAGTGTCTCGTTTCAATTACGTCAAGTTCGTGAAATGGCGTCTATGCGATTTTTTTGCCGCATTTGTCATGTAGTGCATCCATAACGCCGGTGGCCCAGTCTTTCGACTTAAGCTAGGTTGGTTTGGCGTCAGGATCACGAAGCATAAGCTATGGCACACAGTCCGTGTGTCACGATCTCACTGATCTACCGCTATCTTGCTAACTCCAAAGTAGTTTGTTGTCCCTTAGATTGTTAAGCAGTCTCAAAGAACTTTGACCAAAACGACTTCTATCTGTACTCCGAATTTGTCACTTCGCTTGGGCAGATTAATGAGCCAATCAGAGCGGACATTGGCGAGGACCTTTGCATCAGTCGCGCGCGCCAGCCTAGGCTAAGTCCGAGATCAGCGTCAGATCCTGGTAGCGCAAGATCTTCGTGTCGATCTGACAGATCCACAAATCGTCCCTTTGAAACGGTGCGACAGTCACGCAACAATGCGGGAGCTGGTGTGGAGTCATATCGGTTGAGGGATGCTAGTATGTGAAGCTATAGCCGCCTGTTATACGACAATGCTGCAAATGTGGTGATCTGAATTTGCTCTGTTGATCGAAGAACAAGCGATCCTAAGAAGGAACACCGTCTCGGTATATCATATCCCTGCCCGACGTAGAATAATTGACGTAGTCTTGGCCCCCAAATCCAGGGGGAAATGGTGCCTTCCGGAAACCGTGGGCCCGATCTGCGGTGTGGTGGAGCATTGAGCTTCTTCCCCGGACAAATCGCAAGACTTCTTGTAGTCTAGCCGGGTCTTTAAGGGCACGGAGAGCTTCGCGGCAATTCGGGCTCATGAACCTGGTAATCAGTATGCGGCCGTGCTTCAGTCGGGATTGAACGGCGTTATAACATCAGGCCAAGTACCCTTCGTTCCTTGGGTGGTGCCCATGGATTATCCTCCGCGTATGGGGTGAAGTCAGGATGGCACTAGGGATTAAAGGACGCTGCAAGGTTGAGTTGACGCATATCGGTACGTCGTGCATGTCTCCGTAAGTAGTGCTTGGTAAAAATTTGCAGTCACTTCTTTCTAACCACATTTGGTCTAGTGCCTCATTGCGCCAAAAAATCAGAATCGGGCCGCGGGGGCCCTTGTCGGCACGGAACGTGAGCTTCTTACGTCCCATGGCATGCATAGCGCACAGTCCATTCGACATGAACTTCTTGATCTACCACTGACGCATTGACTTCAGGCCATCCATCACGCCTTCAGGCCTTAGCAGCTGCAAACGGGTTTATTCTGTTCATCGCGCTAATGAATTTGGAATTCAAGCCCCGCTTAGCGCAAAATCTCGGCACGCATGGCTCAGAAGACGTTGGTAA